GTAATTTCTCTTTTTTGTTTATTTTCTTTCTCCTCCAACCACTGCTGTAGTCTCTCTTCTTGTTTATTTTCTTTCTCCTCCAACCACTGCTGTAGTCTCTCTTCTTGTTTCTTTTCTTTTCCTCCAACAACTGTTGTAATTTCTCTTCTCGTTCTTCTTGTTTTTTTTCTCGTTCTTCTTGTTTCTTTTCTTTTTCCTCCAACAAACGCTGTAATCTCTCTTTTTTATTTTGCTGTTCGAGCTGGCACTGTTGCAGGTTTTCTTGCCACTGCTGTTTTCTCTCCTCTTGTTTCTTTTCTCGTTCTTCTTGCTTCTTTTGCTGTTCTTGTATTGCTGCCATAAAATCTGCTAAGTCGTAGTTTGATTTACCACTTCTGGTTTCCATCTTCTTTTTTTCTTTTCTGCCCCACTCTCTGACACCAATATGTTACGTATCTGCTTGTTTGTTAATTTCTGGTATAAATTCTTTCCGAGAAACTTCAGCCACACAAATCCTTTCTTGATTAACCCAGTTTATTCTTCCTGGATACAAACTTTGTAATACACAGAATTTCCACAGTCAATACGTTTTCTCGTCGCTTTACTTAACAACCTTTATAACACACGCTATAGATCACAATGATTCACACACTTTACTTACGGTACCTACTGTTCGTTTGACTCAATTATCTATCTCCTAAATCCCGCTGGTTTTTCTCGCCAGGCTTATATACTAAAAAGGGGGCATCCAGATCACACAATCTAGCTGGCGTGCAAATTTATGATCATTCGAGAAACTCCAGCGCGCATGCTCCCAGCGTCGCGTGACTTCCGCTGTCGTAACAGTAATTTTTGTACAGACAAGTACTCACAGTTAAGAGGGAAAATTTATCAGAGAAAGATGGTTTCAAAGAGAAAGATTATGATTGTATGAGAAATTCTCTCCTGGACATAGGATTTTTGCCCATGTTATAAAGTTCTATAATGTTGGTCAGCCTGCAACATTTAATTCAGGGAAATTAACTCGTATCTGGAGCTGCCAGACCAGTCATCCAGTTGGTATACTTGAGGATGGACCTCACTGGAAGGAAAAATGCAGAAAACTGTGGGTCTTCAAAACGGAATTGTGCTTAGCGAATCTGAGACTGTGTGAGGAGGTTTCTATCAAACGTTTAGGCCATCACCAGTCAGAACACAGAAGTCCCAGATTTATCTCCCCGGAAGGTGAGATAATGGGTACCACAGATGAAGACTGTCAACTAAGAGGTGTGGTTACTTTCATGACTAAAGGGTTCCCTGCAACATCGACAGCAGTTGTAGGATGGAGTGGAATATATATGTAATCACGTATTCTGGTCAAATACAAATACTGTGCAATGAAGAAAGAGCAACTTGCAGTGGTTGTCTTCAAAAAACACTATTGCCACTGCTTGTATGGTAGAAATTTCACCATCTAGGTAAAGCACAATTTGCTGAAGTAATTAGTAAACTTTAAAAAACTACAGAGTATAATAACATGTTGGATAACGACATTGCAAGAATACGTCTTTTTCATAGTTCATTGCCCAGACATGCAACACAGAAACATAGATAAACAATCTTGCTGTATGGTGAGACTTCTACATTTGTGGAATGTTCTGACCGTAGATGCCATGTGGGAGTTGAAATCATGAGCATATCAGCTATCGTGAATGCAAAACGTAAAGTAGAAGACTCCACTGGCGGATTGGTGCCACATTTTACGCTTCAGGAGGTCTGGGACAAGCAAATGAACAGCTCTGACCTAGCACGAGTGCTCCTTGTTGTCCACAAGGTCAAGCCAACCAATACTAATAGAGGATCATAGTATGGGCAAATATAGAATATGTCACTTGTACTAGCAGTTACTATCAATCCACAAGTTGTTATATTCTGACAATTTTGCAGATAATAGTCCTGGGTCAGAGTTCTGTGTCAAAAAATACTTCGGATTTTGCATAACACAGAGACTAGAGGGCACAAAGATATAACTCACATTCGACAGCAGGTCTTCTGGCTGCTAGGGAGTCAAGATGTTCAGTACTGGTGTATGAGCTGTACAGTATGTGTTCCACCCAGAGGAAAACTGGCCAAGGCTGGGTGAATTCAAGCAAAGAGTTGTTGGATTTCCTCTGCAAAAATTTTCCTGGATATCACTGGTCTACTCCCACAGACTGTGAAAGGTCATCAATACACACCCTTTACCTCCAACTATTTTATAAAGTGAGCTGAAGCTTATCCAATGGTCAATATGCTGATATATTAACCAATAATTTGATAGCATAATTTAGAACTCTAGAAAACGTTCACATGGATTAGAGAACTAACTTCAAAAGCCAAATTTTAACTTATTTTTGTTAAGTGTTAGGTTTAATGAAGACTCTTGCTTTACCCTATCACTCATAGTCTGGTGTTTTGGAAAACTGGATGATACAGACTACCAATTGAATGCTTGTAAAGTTTGTTAATACTGACAGAAGCGACTGAATTCAACACTTGTCATAACCGATGATGGCACATAAACAATGGAAAAGACAACAACAGGCTGTTTACTGAACCTGCTCATGTTTGGAAGAAACATTTTACTCTCTGTGGACGTGATGTATGGTCGTCTGCCTTACGATACTATCCAGTCCCACCAAAAGTATGTGGAGTAGCTGAGATATACAATGATTATTGCACATGAATTCACCCAACAACAACTCGGGAAGGTAGCTCGTTGATAAAAAAGTACAATGATTGGACAATAACAGAATTGATGTTCCAATGTGGTTACTAGGTGTGGTTGTGGTTTGTGTCAGCTGCAGGAAAACTTTTATTCGGTTGAATTGGTCTATACATGCTACTTCAACAAGTTAGTCTTCT